ATGTAAATTGTGAACAACAACGGGCCCAACACTGACCCCTGAGGAACACCGCTTGTGACGTGCCCCCATTCTGATTTCTCCCCATTTATGCAAACTCTCTGCTGTCTATTTGTCAGCCATGCCTCTACCCAGGAAAAAATTTCTCCTCCTATTCCATGTGCCCTAAGTTTCCTCAATAGCCTCTGGTGTGGAACTCTATCGAAAGCCTTACTGAAGTCCATATACACAATATCATATTCATTACCATGATCTACCTCCTCAAACACCTTTGTGAAAAAAGTTAGTAAATTCGTAAGACAGGAACGCCCCTTTGTAAAACCGTGTTGAGAATCATTAATCAATCTGTGCCTGTCAAGATGGCTACGAATTGCTTCGCCAATTATTGATTCCATAAATTTTCCCACTATAGAGGATATTTCTCCATAAAACTTTGCAACTCATTCTACAAGTTCTTTCTTGAATTCTATCGTGTTTCTCACCTTCTTTACCAAAGGGCTGGCACCCTGAACTTTCTTTAGCCCCATGATGGCTTATTTCACAGTCACAATCAATAAACAAGCACAAAAAAATGGATGAATGCATGGAGCATTGCTAACTCAACGAGAGACAGAGGCAGACCGAGTCTGGTGCGAGTGAAAAGCGGCATCCCGGGCGGGTGGGCGCATCTGATACAGACAATTTCTGAGCGGATGTATGAAACCCGGGGGAAAATTTCGCCAAAAAAAGTGCTCCAAATCTGAATTGTACGATTTTAGCACCAGACGAAAACTGGGGTTCCACTGTATGTGGCAGAGAATGGCAGTGTAGAGATTGTATTTCAATCTCCATCTGAGATCTTCCTCAGCAGTACTGAACAGCTGAAGAAAATCTCAGACAGAGATGAAATACAAAGTCTCTTTCTACACTGTGTTTTAGTTGCCATGTGTGAGTCAATTCACTGACATGTCCACTACACTTTAAAGCTTCATTATAGTACAGAACACTTGCCTTCAGTTTCTTCACTACCCACTTAGTGACTTAGCATTTTGGGTGCATGCTGACAAAATTACTGCAAGAATCTGGTGCATAAGGTAGCTAACAGATCTTTGGTGCACAAGATAGCTAAGAGATCACTAAGAATCATTCATTAATGTACTGGATCATTAGCAAATTTTGGCATAAATTCAAAATTCAAGCCATAAGTCGAAAAATTTGGCGAGTTGGCCCTAGACATATGTTAGTTTAATGAGACCTTAAGTTCAGAAGTTGTAGGTCAAAACTGTACTCGAATGTAATCCTGAATATGGTCCTGGCACAGGGATGAGGTACCAGTTCTCTGGGAGCAGTGCCTTTATTTCCTTAGAGGTAATTAAGTACAATGTAGAAAGAAACATTTCATTTTGGTCATTAATAGATCATTACAGTTCCATACTTAAAGCATTAGAAAATACATTATTATTATTATTATTATTATTATTATTATTATTATTATTATTATTATTATTATTATTATTATTATCAGCACTAAGCCCCAAAGGTTATACAGCACTGCAGAAAATACAGTAAAACCTCTCATTGACAGATTAATAGGTGGGAGGGGGTGTATGATAATGCCAATTTCCCTATCTCCCATATTATGTAATTAATATTTCAAGATCATCCAGCTGTCTTCTGATATAGTGAACTTGATCCACTGATGAAGAAAACTAGACACTAAGAAGACATGAACTGTAACCTGTTCTACTACAGAACATCACTGAACTGTCTCGTAATTTTATAGTATTCTAATGTATTTTAAAATAATTTTACTTACTTTCATGAGGTGAAAAGACGAAGTGTAAATTGCTGTGATCAATAGGAATTACTCAGAATAACTATTATTCCGAGTCAGAGGAGCTGTAAGCCTCTACTAATGAAAATAACGTAGAGATCCGATGTGGAGAACTGGTTATAAGTACGTACACTTTCCTGCATGAAACAAACATAAGATAAGCATTACTTATCTTTTAACAGCACAATGTCCAGCAGCCTCTCCCTGGAAATCCCTTCAGTGTGCCATCCCAGTTTCCACCGAGGTTATTGCTTAACAAGTTTGTTATTCGTATAATTTGCCCCAAAGGAATGTATATCTCAGCATTTCACTATCATCCGCACAAAAAAACTGCTGAGTTCAGCTTTATATCTCTTCCTTACTACACATTGCAACAATATTCTATACAAGAGGGTATGTTTCTTGTTATCTAGCTATAGACTAGAATTCCTAATAGTCCCAACTTGTAGATAAACTGGGGTGCAGGTTTTCCCTTAATTTTCCTAAGGAGAAAAAGTAATTATTCTCGTTTAACCTCGTTGTGCAGTTGATCAGAAACTCTAGCAAGGAGAGAAAGGCATGCCTTGTGACACTATGGTACATCCTCATAAAGCTGTTTGCAAGGACGGAAGAGTCCACTAGCCCCTTCTAGGAAGGCTAAGTCCCTCAGAGGGCTGAGGGAGGACTGTGAGGGCTGAGAGATACCCCCTTTACTGGAAAATTTTCTCTACAGCTGAGATGTAGATAGCTGAGAACATGTAGATTTCTGATAACCACACTAAGAACCTCATGTTTTCTCCTGGCACCACCACTTGCTTTAGAAACCATTGTTAATTGCACTTAATATGTTAACAAAATCACACAAAATACTTTAAATCCAAAGAAAATTAGAGATTGAATGACAAGTGTATGCATCAGTGGGCACAAACAATAAAATGGCACAGGTGGCCCACAGCTCAGGAAAGAATGACAGCGAACAGGTGATGGACATGGCCGCTTTGGCTTGTATTGGACAAACATCCATCACAACCTGGCTGATCTGGTACCTGGTGAAGATACTTGTCCAGTTTCCTCTTGAAGACTTCTATGCTTGTCCCTGCAGTGTTTCTGATATCTTCTGGTAAAATGCTGAATAGTCTGGGGCCGTGGACATTGATAAAGTGTTCCCTTATTGTGCGCACTGCACCCCTGATTTTCACTGAGTTTATTTTGCATTTCCATATTTCTTGCTCCAGTATGTTGTTATGGCAGTGTGCAGACTTGAGAAAGGCCCTCAAGTACTTTCCAGGTATATATTATCATGCATCTCTCTCTCTCTTCTCTGCTCCAGTGAGTACATATTTAAGACTAAGGGGTTCCCAGTAATTTAAATGCTTTATTGGCTCTATGCAGGCCATAAACGATCTCTGTGTTTGTTCCAGCTCTGATATTTCTCCTGCAATTAACAGAGCTGTCAACACTGAGCAATATTCCAAATGAAGGAACACAAGTAATTTGAAAATTGTCACCGCTGACATTATTCCCTTATATTGAAGGTTCTTATTACCCACCACATCATCCTCCTGGCCTAATAAAGAATACCATGACTGAAACAATACACAAATAACCTGTGCATGGAAGACAAATTTAAGATGATGATGTTTCGGTCTGACTCGTACCATTTAAGGTCAAAGTCGGGCCAAAACACTGTCATAAGTCTCCTATATGAGGATTTTCTGTGCACTGGCCAGGTAATTCAGAATGCATCCAGACACTATCACTACAGACAAAATGTGGAATAATGGGCTTTAGTCCATTTTGTCTGATAATTAGAGTATGTATGGCCAATTTTTCCTTAAAAAATTGCCAAAATCTGTTAATGAGAGGTTTTATTGTAGTTTAAAACATATCACAGGTATTTACTGCCTGTACATCTTACTTAAGTTAACACACACATTTTATAAACAAAAAAGTTTCCATAACAAAGTTAAGGCATAACTAAATTAACCCTTTGAGGGTCGACAGGCCCTCTCCGAGACTCGTTCTCAGGGTCGGCCAAATTTAAAAAAAAATAGTTTTTTCTTATGAAAAGATAGAGAATCTTTTCCAGATCATAATGACACCAAAAGTATGAAATTTGATGGAAAACTTACAGAATTATGCTCTCGCGAAGTTAGCGGTCTCGGCGATGTTTACGCATTGGCGATTTTGCCCACTTTGAGCCCCATTTTCGGCCAATTCCACTGTACTAGTCGACAAAAAACATGAATATTTCACTAGAACTCCATTTTTTCTATCGAATGAGTGCAAGAAACCACCCATTTACCAATTTCAACTATCCAGTACAGTGGTCAGAATTTAGCAATTTTGCCAATTTCACACAAATTTCAAAAGATGCCAATTTCCGAACAGGGTCCAGAATAAACAAGAAAGACATTCCTGACACTAAAATGACATTTCCTCTGTTCATTAGGCACGTCTCAAGGCCCCTCTTACATTCTTTTGCTTTCCACTTTGAATTTTTATTCTCACAAAAAATAGAAGATTTACTGTTATGCAGACTACTGCATTAGTGTAAAAAATGGTATAAATAATATTGGCGCGCTTGCGAAAGAATATTAAATTCACCAGTTGACGTGTATTGGACGCTTGGCATGATTTGTTGACTTTTGAACTTCGGTAAAAATCGAACATTTCTGCTACTTTGAGCTCAATTTCAAGGTACTTTTCATTGTAAAACCAGTCAAAATCATCTCAATTTCTGTAATATGTCTTCCATTCTATAAAATGAGACCAAGAAAACTAGAATACAACAATAAATACCATACGAAAATACAGTGCAAAGTCGCTGTTTTATTCCAAAAAAAATGGTCAAAGTTTTTTTTTTCTCATTATGCACTGTGTGCTGCAGGATTTTTTTATACTGTGCACACAGGCCACATAGACCCATTCTTTCATATGTAGGCCTACCAGCTTTCTCCCACTAGATCTGAGGGCGCTAGAACTTAGGCGTACTAATATGTCAAAAACCCTGGGTCGTAAGCCGTACTAGTACAGCCGAAACCTTCTAAGGGTTAAAGCTGAAGAATCTGAGAAAAAAAAAAATAAGTAGTATAGGTGTTTTCCACCAATACATTACTGTAATGCACAGTAATAATTTTATATATGTTTAACACCTTTGATCAACGCTAAAAACACTCAAGAGTGTTATATCTCACAGTCACAAACCTACCTCAGTTCAAGAAGAGCATTTTCTCTTGTTTCAGGGTTTGCAAGTTCAATGATCCACTGGTATATCTTGTCCCGCTCAGCACTGGTTATGCCACTCCCACCTCCCAGGAATCTTTGAACTGGAACTGTACCCTGTAAGGTGGTGATATATACAGCATATTAAAGAAGAAATGGAAAAATATTAGCTATTTAACACACTGGTCATTTCTCACCAAGTTAGTGTGACCCAAAGAAGGAAAACATATTCACTACCATTCATTTTGTAGCTGTCTTTCCAAGAAGGCACAGATATTACAATGATGCCCAAAAAGCAAAACTCCCATTCATACTTCAGAGTGCAAACACTGTACCTGCCACCTCCAGAACTCAAGTCCAGCTACATGGTTTTCCTTGAATCCTTTCACATGTGTTGCCTTGTGCACCCTGAAGCAGCTAGTTACATCCCAAAAAACCACATCACTTTCCTCATTCTTATCCAACACACTCAAATACTTGGTGGATGCTGAACCCACTCAGTGTCTCTTATGAAGATCTACTCTAGGGTCCTTCACATAACTCTACATTTTGAGCTCAGCTCCCAGAGGTAAGTTGCGAGTGGTAAATTTGGGCCTAGATATGAGTGTGTGGGTCTGTGCAGTGAATGTGCACAGTACAAGAAAAAATCCTGCCCCATGCAATGAACGATGGGAAAAGCAAAACTCTGAGGCATTTTCTATGATGAATTACATGGTTTTATTGACTGGTTTCTTGATTTTATTTGATAAAAAGGAAAATATATTACTGAAAAAAAGAGATGATTTTGATTGGCTCCAACACCAGAAATAGCTTCAAATTGGGCTTAAAGTAACAGACTTATTCAATTTTGCAATTTTTGTGAGGATGGGTAAGGCCCCCTTACATCCTCCAGTCTGTTTTGTGGGGTTTTACTAGGTCTCATTCAATTATTAGGACACTGTAAACCATGACCAATCATTCTTGGTTATGTTTTACTATCTGAGAAACAGGGTAAATCTTTGATTTTTGTGATGATGAATTCAAAATAGAAGATAAATGTAACACAGGAAAGGCATGGGGACATGATTAATGAACAGAGGAAATGTTGCTTTAGTGTCTGGAATGTCTTCAGTGCTTATTTTGGGATCTATTTTTAAATTTGATTTTCTTTTAATTTTGCATAAAATTGGCCAAATTACCAAATTCTGTGCACTTTATAGGCTACAGTGGTACCTCGGTATACGTCCGCTTTGGAATAAGTCCAACTTGTATGTCCTGTTTGGACGTGAAAATTTTTGCTTGGTATACGACCTTAGTTTGGAATGCGACTCGCATGCCAGAACTTGTATGGGTCAAATTGAGTCACAACACCGTGTGCTACCTTTGTTTATCTCTCTCTTGAGATCAAGCCACAACTGCCCACTAGCATCAGTACACCCGTTGCTACCATTCAGTGAACAACCCGCGCTGTAACTCTGAATTTTCACGTGATTTTGTTTTTTTTTAATAAATTTTTGGTAAATTCATTAGCCCTGAGTTCTAAGAAAGTTAATGAAAGAGCCAAGCAACAAAGAAAATGGTTAGGATCACCATGGAGGTGAAAAAAAGAGATTTTTGAAAAGTATGAAGGTGGCATGCGTATCTGGGACTTGGCTGCTGCATACCGTATGCTGAGAACAATGGTACCTACAATTGTGAAAAACAAAGATATTATTACATTGGCTAACATTGCGAAGGGGGTGAAATCGATTACCAAACAAAGATCAGGGACATTAGAGCATGTTGAAAAATTGCTTTTGATCTGGATAACAGAAAAACAGTATGCCGGCGATAGCGTATCAGAGGCAATGATTTGCGAAAAGGCAAAACTGATGCATGCCAATCTTTTGAAAAACAAGGCAGGAGCAAGCAAAGAAAGTGAAGTGTTTAAAGCCAGCTATGGCTGGTTTGATCATTTTAAGAAGAGGACTGGCATTCACAGTGTTGTGAGGCATGGAGAGGGAGCCAGTGCTGATAAAGATGCCGCCAATGATTTTGTTACGGAGTTTGGGGAATTTGTGGAGGCTGAGGGTTTTGTTCCCCAACAAGTTTTTAATTGTGACGAAGAAAATGCCTAACAGGACTTATATTACACAAGAAGAGAAGTCATTACCAGGACACAAGCCAATAAAGGATAGGTTAACTCTCTTGTTCTGTGCCAATGCAAATGGGGATTGAAAACTGAAGCCTCCACTGATCTACCACTCTGAAAACCAGAAGGCCTTTAAAAAACACAACATGCAGTTACCCGTGATGTGGAGGTCGAACAGCAAGGCTTGGGTAACCAGAGAATATTTCATTGAATGGTTTAATGTTGTGTTTGGGCAAAGTGTAAAAAGTTATTTGGAGGAGAAAAATCTGCCTCTGAAGGCCCTCCTCATAATGGACAATGCTCCAGCTCACCCTTCAAGCTTGCAGGATAATGTGCTGCCGGAGTTTGACTTCATCACTGTAAAGTTTCTCCCCCCTAACATGACTCCTCATTCAGCCCATGGATCAGAAGATCATCAGTAATTTCAAGAAACTCTACACTAAAGCATTATTCCATAGGTGCTCTGAAGTGACCTCTGACACAGAGTTAACCCTGAGAGAATTTTGGAAAGATCACTCTACTATTGTTCATTGCGTAACTCTCATTGACAAAGCCTGGGAGGAAGTTTCATACCGAACAATGAGCTCTGCTTGGAGGAATTTGTGGCCAGAAGCAGTGGCTGAAAGGGATTTTGAGGGCTTTGAGGCTGTCTACAGTGGAGGATATTGTCTCTCTGGGCAGGTCCATGGGTCTGGATGTGAGTGATGGTGATGTGGAGAAGTTAATGGATGGGCACAGTGAAGAGCTGACCACTGAGGAGCTGCAGGAACTTGAGAAAGGGAAGCACAAGACTAAGATGGATGCACTCTCTCTTCAGGCTCAGAAGAGGAGACAGAGGAAGCCCCTACTTCATTAATCAAGGAAATCTTTGCCAAATGGATGGACATCAAAAACTTTGCAGAGAAGTACCACCCCAGCAAAGCCTAAACAAGCCATAATAGCATTGTCTGGAATGACCAGACAATGTCACAAATCCGAAGCATCCCGAGAAGAAGGCAGAAGCAAAGTTCTTTGGACAGATTTTTAGTAAAAGTCAAACCTGGTTGAAGCAGCTTCAACCAGGTCCAAATAGAAAAGAGGCAGAAAAAAGAAGGGGACTCTCCTTCCAAACAATAACATTTCCTCCTCCTCCCTTCTCAGGGCTATACTAGCAGGCACTCGACTCTTTTCAGCAAAGGTTAACTTTGCATTTATTTCATCTAATTCTTTTGTATTTATGTACGTATGTATTTTAGTATTAAGCAGTGTTTAAATTACATATTTTAGTATTAAGCAGTGTTCAAATTATTCTATACAACCCCATCAATGTATAATAAGCCAATAACAATAAGATTTTTTTCATGGGAACGGATTAATCGTTTTCCTTATACGTAGTATTTCTTATGGGAAAATTAGTTTGGTATACGTCCTGTTTGGTATAAGTTCAAGGTCCTGGAACGGATTAAGGATGTATACCGAGATACCACCGTAGTTCTAATCGTTGAATGGGTGGTATTCCGTTAGCATTAGTATAAGTCCGCCGGGAACGCACATGTTAGTGGCTTTCTTAATACTTTATTACATGTAAACTACACTTTGTATAATGAACAAAGAAATAACATTTGTTTGTGTTGTCTTAAGGTGTAGAGTTAGTTAAACAAACTGCTAGAGAGCATCACTGAGGTTATAACTTCAAGCAGCATTATATTTGATATAAGTTGGACGGGTACGTGAGTGGGTATGACCTGCTTGGTATTAGCTAACAGGTTTACCGTAGTGTTCTTTCATGCGTGTGTTCTTGTGAAGGTTCAACACAGAGTTCACACACAACACTCGGCAGGTTGTGAACCCCCTTCAACCGGCCTCAACTTTATAAACAACTTGGGTGAAACTCCAAGGCTCGTGTTAACTCACTCTCCATCTGTGGTGACTCTACCGATAATCCTCTAGTATTCAGGAGGGAGGGAGAGTAAAAACGAGCTTACCTGATTATTAGCTAAAGGGTTCATCTTTGCAAGTAGCTCAGCTTGCAGCGGCAGCAAAGATAAACATAAACACAACACTGGTAGTTGACTTTCCTCTCAACAGATGGCGCTGCTCCAAGCACTACCGTACCTCTCATACATATTCAAACAATTTACCAAAAGTAAGTAAAGTAAGCAAGTAAATAAGTCTTTGTCTGACTTTTTTTGGTTATCCTGGGTAATTTACACATATATTACTATGTATGATAATCGTACTTACGTGTACCTGTACCTAAATAAACTTAGTAAGCCTAGTAACGTGTGGAAATTAGCTAGCACACTACACATAATGAAGGTTGTGGTTCATATAGTGAGACATGAAGGAGCTTGTTCATATAGTGGGACATGAAAGGTCTGGTTCATATAGTGAGACATGATGGGTTTGGTTCATATAGTGAGACATGAAGGAGCTTGTTCATATAGTGGGACATGAAGGATCTGGTTCATATAGTGGGACATGAAAGGTCTGGTTCATATAGTGAGACATGATGGGTTTGGTTCATATAGTGAGACATGAAGGAGCTTGTTCATATAGTGGGACATGAAGGGTCTGGTTCATATAGTAGGACATGAAAGATCTGGTTCATGTAGTGAGACATGATGGGTTTGGTTCATATAGTGAGACATGAAAGGTCTGGTTTATATAGCGAGACATGATGGGTTTGGTTCATATAGTGGGATATGAAGGGTCTGGTTTGTATAGTAGGGCATGATGGATTTGGTTCATATAGTGACAGTGATTTTGGTTCATAGAGTGGAACACGGTGGTTCTAGTTCATAGTGTGACATGGTAGTTCTGGTTCATATAGTGAGACGTGAGGAGTCTGGCTCATTGAGTGAGACATGGTGGTTCTGGTTCATAGACTTAGACATGAAGGGTCGGGTTCACAGAGTGAAACATGGTGGTTCTCGTTCAGTGAGACAGTGGTTATGGTTCATTGTGACATGGTGGATCTGGTTCACAGAGTGAAACATGGTGGTTAGAATGATAACAAATTCTCACTACAGGCAGCACACTCCACCAATATTCAATACACTAAACCTACTCACCATACAAAACATCCATACTTATTACTGCACCTATTACATACATAGAACACTTAACTCTGATATTAACCCTCCCCTCAAACATCTCCTTGCCAACCTCAACAGAACACATGACCATAACACAAGGCACAGATCACTCTTTGATGTTCCTCGTGTCCATCTCACACTATGCAAAAACTCAATGCACATAAAAGGCCCTAAAATCTGGAATTCATTACCTGTAAATATAAAAGAAACACAACCTGTTTATAAATTCAAGTCTCTTCTCAAAGATTACTTACTCACCCAAAACCAAATAAATACTGAATAACTGAACATTATAAATTGTATATCTTAAATGTTTCTCACAATTATATCACATAAATGTTAAACCTAAAACCCAATCTAACTTTATTATTTTTTAAATACACTACCTAACAGAATCACTACCTAACTGAATGCAACCATATGACCTGTCTTTGTAATACTCACTTGTGCTTTATAGTTATCTGTTTACATTAATGTTTTATCACTGATTTCATCATTGCTTAGTAGCAGCGCTGTATAGTCCTTGTGGCTTAGCGCTTCTTTTTGATTATAATAATAATAATAATAATCATTGCTTAGTTAATCTTAAGTTAATTTTAAGCCAGCCCGTAATGCTATGCATAGTATAAGTGGCTTTGGCATACTGCTCTTATCTGTATTTTTTTTGTACCTCTGTATGTGTGCACAAATTGGAAATAAATAAATAAATAAATAAATAGAGTGGGTTATCCTAGGTTCTTTACACATATGCTGCTATGTATGATAATCTATATAACTGTATTTGTGTTAACCTGAATAAACTTACTTATTTGCTTACATGAAGGGTCGGGTTCATAGTGAAACATGGTGGTTCTGATTCATAGCGAGACATGGTGGTTCTGGTTCATAGTGAAACATGGTGGTTCTGGTTCATAGTGAGACATGGTGGTTCTGGTTCATAGTGAGACATGGTGGTTCTGGTTCATAGTGAGACATGGTGGTTCTGGTTCATAGACTGAGCCATGGTGGTTCTGGTTCATAGAGTGAGACATGGTGTTCTGGTTCAAAGAGTAAAACATGTTAGTTCTGGTTCATAGAGTTAGACATGAAGGGTCGGGTTCATAGTGAAACATGGTGGTTCTGGTTCATAGAGTGAGACATGAAGGGTCGGGTTCATAGTGAAACATGGTGGCTCTGGTTTATAGAGTGAGACACTGGTTCTGGTACATAGCGTGAGACATGAAGGGTCGGTTTCATAGTGAAACATGGTGGTTCTGGTTCATAGTGAGACATGGTGGTTCCGGTTCATAGAGTGAGACATGGTGGTTCTGGTTCAAAGAGTAAGACATGGTGGTTATGGTTCATAGAGTGAGACATGAACGGTCGAGTTCATAGAGTGAAACATAGAGGGTCGGGTTCCTAGAGTTGGACATGGTGGGTCGGGTTCCTAGAGTTGGACATGGTGGGTCTGGTTCACAAAGTGGGACATGGGGGGTCTGGTTCAAAGAGTGAGACATGGTAATTTTGGTTCATTGTGACATGGTGGTTCTGGTTCATAGAGTGAGGCATTGTGGTTCTGTTTCATAGAGTGAGACATAAAGGGTCGGGTTCATAGAGACATGGTGGTTATGGTTCATTGTGATATGGTGGTTCTGGTTCATAGAGTGAGACATTGTGGTTCTGTTTCATAGAGTGAGACATGGTGGTTCTGGTTCATAGAGTGAGACATGGTGGGTCTGGTTCACAGAGTAAGACATAGTGTTTCTGGTTCATAGAGTGAGACATTGTGGCTCTGGTTCATCGAGTGAGACATGGTGGTTCTGGTTCATAGAGTGAGACATGGTGGGTCTGGTTCATAGAGCAAGGCATGGTGGGTCTGGTCTATACATAGAGTGAGACGTGATGGTTCTGGTTCATAGAGTGAGACATGAAGTGTCGGGTTCATAGAGTGAGACATGATGGGTCTGGCTGATAGTGAGACATGGTGGGTCTGGTTCATAGAGTGAGACATTGTGGTTCTGTTTCATAGAGTGAGACATGGTGGTTCTGGTTCATAGTGAGACATGGTGGGTCTGGTTCATAGAGTAAGACATAGTGTTTCTGGTTCATAGAGTGAGACATTGTGGTTCTGGTTCATCGAGTGAGACATGGTGGTTCTGGTTCATAGTGAGACATGGTGGGTCTGGTTCATAGAGCAAGGCATGGTGGGTCTGGTTTATACATAGAGTGAGACGTGGTGGTTCTGGTTCATAGAATGAGACATGAAGTGTCGGGTTCATAGAGTGAGACATGATGGGTCTGGCTGATAGTGAGACATGGTGGGTCTGGTTCATAGAGTAAGGCATGGTAGGTCTGGTTCATAGAGTGGGACATGTTGGGTCTGGTTCATAGAGGAGTGGGACATGGTGGGTCTGGGTAATAGTGAGACATGGTGGGTCTTGTTCATAGAGTAAAACATGGTGGGTCTGGTTCATAGAGTAAGATATGGTGGGTCTGGTTCACAAAGTACAACTTGGTGGGTCTGGTTCATAGAGTGGGACATGTTGGTTCTAGTTCATAGAGTGGGACATGTTGGGTCTGGTTCATATAGTGGGACATGTTGAGTCTGGTTCATAGAGTGGGACATGTTGAGTCTGGTTCATAGAGTGAGACACGTTGAGTCTGGTTCATAGAGTGAGACATGTTGGGTCTGGTTCACAGTGGGACATGGTGGGTGTGGTTCACTGAGTGGAACATGGTGGTTTTTCGTTAACATGATATCTCCACTGCTAGTTGTGTGGTGGTTAGCATGCTGGCCCTATATTTGTGGGTTTCGCAGTTCAGTTCCCATAAGCGTAGCACTAAGAGTTTTATAATGAAAATATTTAGCTCCCAGCGAGCGTAGCATTTCCGTAATAAATGTCCTAGTACTGCACTTTGTTTTACTTCCGTACTTGCCTGTAGTTTGTACCAACTCTGACCGATTCAGTTCCCGTATGATTTCTTCCATGGAAATATGTGAATTCTTCTGCATATTTGCCTTTAATGTGCATTTCTACAAAAGATTCACGTGTTTACTGAGTTTGAAGGATAATAAATACAAGGTTTGATCCAAGGGAGGGGAGGGTGACACATATTCCTTTGAACAAGTGCCCTTCACTAGATTTAAACATCCTCCTTGCTAGCTGGTTGTATGAGAACTTTCACTCTAGGTACACCGTCCTACGACCTGCATGATGGGTGTGTGAAGGAAGTGAAGCTTGTTCCTGCTCTAGCCTTGTATAATGCTGTGTACATCAGGGTAGACGCACACATACAGCGTATATAATTTTTTGTTATAAACAAAATAGAAAGTGACCCAGGGAATAACCTAAGAGTACATGAAGACAGTGTTGATCCTTCTCCCTGGCCTCTGTGCCGGACGTGGGGAGATTCCCATCAGCCAGTATTATCTCAGGTCAACGCTGAGCAAAGGTCAACTCCAACTTATTATGTTCTACCTTGCTTCACTATTTTTTTTATTTCGTGTGTTTGTCTGTTTTCACATGTGTATTACTCTAAGTAACACATATCTGGATGTTAAGTTTTATAAGCTTAGCGGAAGTCTGAACAATTATAGATGACCTGTTGCCAGGTTAATAAATTAAACCCTTCACAGCTGACCTGACTGTTGTTAGTTGAAATTGAAGACTTAATGAAGTAAACAACTGCAGGCAATCAGTTGATGACTAGCAACAAAGGAACGTGTTAGAACTATTAATAATATCATTGTCACACATAAGATCAAATTCTACAATGTACATCCACTACCCTGGTACTGATGCATATTCAATATTGCATAATTGTGTGTGGGACGGAAAGGAGGGAAAATATTGGAGAGAGTTTATTTTGTAAGGTTTAAATCATATGTCTGTATTGTATCCCAGACAAATCATATTACTCCATCTCCTGATTCCTTCAAGAGTGGTGCCTTGACCCTGGTGAAGGGCTTTTCATTCAAAGAACAGGAGCTACTCTCCCTTTCTTCACATCAAGTCGAATTGCCTCCGATTC